TCTGCTCCTGAGTAACTGCCTGACTCTGTGTGTGGAGAGAGTCTTATCTATGTAGTGACTAGATGGCTGAGTGGGAGATGTAACATTCATGCAAACCAGTTCTTTAGTTTGTAGTAACTATTAGAAATAAAAGGAGTTATGCTTCACAGCTAGCTTCCACGTTATTTATACTCTGCATGAGTCTGGTGCTCACAATGCACAGTTGTGGGTCCAGTGCACTGGGACCTGCTTTCCAGGACTGGAAGGTCTCTGAAAGTGCTCCAGTCGCCTAGCCCAGTCGGGGCAGAACCAGTTCTTGAGCCCAGTCGCTGACATCGGTTGAAAGGCGTACTGACAAATCATTGATTTTAGTTGAATGTCAATATGCTTTAGAAATCAGTCAAGGGCAATGGGTTTAATATTTGCCTGAAATATAAGGCTTTATTAGGTATTCAGGGTGACAGTGCTAGATGTGTTTAGCAAACCTTTCCTCTCATTATAAAGCAAATATCTCTGCTAGGGCTCTCTGAAGGGGCAGAATATTTCAGAAGACACGCAGCAGAGGCACATTTAGGGCATCGTGATGGTTCTGCTGCACTGGGTGTTGCAAGGTGTCTCAACTATAATGTAGTTGGCCTCACACTGAGCACCAATGAAATTTTAAAGACCAAAGTCTGCCCCTGGAATGCTATGTGGGGTAAAACATAGGCAAAACACTGTTATAAACTATGTCAGTCATAATCCAGGAATAATAATAATAATACTAATCCTATGTGGCTGGGTTTCCCTTGCCACTCTGGGCGGCCTATGGAAAGGAAGCAACCTTTAAGGCAATAGAGAGATGGCATTGGTTCCTGATCAAATTGCACGGGGTAAACCTGTGCATTTCAAGAGGAGTACATTACGGGACGAGGTGTGGGGAAAGAGCACCCAGTTCTAGCATTACTAAATATTGGGCAACTTGGGGACCCTCAGTTGCTTCTTTGGAAACTGGTAGCCCTCAGCAGGCTGAATGGAAGTGGAAAGCTACTGGAAGATGAAGGGCTTTTCAGTGAAAGGCTGGCTTGATAAGATATGGGTTATAGCATCCTTGGAGCACTGGGTGTGTCAAAACAGTCATTAAAGGTGATAATGGAATAGGATAGCCCTATCCTTCATATGCAAATAGAGATGGACACTTTATGCAGCCTCCATTAACACAAATTGCATTAGGGAGGATGGAACGCTATTTGAGAAATACATACTTGGAGATCTCCTGAGAATAGTGCATGAGCACAATCTTTGGACAAAATACTTTTATTTCTGTACGATGAATAGGAAATGTGTGCTTTGTACGTCCTGTTTTCTTGTTTCATGCTTTACTTTAAATCAGAACCAGTGAAGGCAGTGAATGTCCTGTGTGAGTGCCTGGAGGCAGTTGGAGGATGGTACGCAGGCTGAGACCCTACCTGCCCGCAGACTGTCTCGCCAGAGTGGTGCAAGCTCTAGTTATCTCCCGCTTGGACTACTGCAGTGCGCTCTACGTGGGGCTACCTTTGAAGGTGACCTGGAAACTGCAATTAATCCAGAATGCAGCAGCTAGACTGGTGACTGGGAGTGGCCACCAGAACCATATAACACCGGTCCTGAGAGATCTGCATTGGCTCCCAGTACTTTTCCGAGAACAATTCAAAGTGTTGGTGCTGACCTTTAAAGCCCTAAACAGCCTCAGTACTGTATAACCTGAAGGAGCGTCTCCACCCCTATCATTCAGTGCAGACACTGAGATCCAGCGACAAGGGCCTTCTGGCGGTTCCCTCATTGCGAGAAGTGAGGTTACAGGGAACCAGGCAGAGGGCTTTCTCGGTAGTGGCGCCCACCCTGTGGAACACCCTCCCATCAGATGTCAAGGAAGTAAGCAGCTATCCTATTTTTAAAAGTCATATGAAGGCAGCCCTGTTTAGGGAAGTTTTTAATATTTAATGCTGTCTTCTTTTTAACACTCGATTGGGAGCCGCCCAGAGTGGCTGGGGAAACTCAGCCAGATGGGCAGGGTATGAATAAATAAATAAATAAATAAATAAATAAATAAATAAATAATTATTTGTGCCCCGATCATCTGGCTGGGTTTCCCCAGCCACTCTGGGCGGCTTCCAACAAAACAGTAAAATACAATAACCTATTAAACATTAAAAGCTTCCCTAAACAGGGCTGCCTTCAGATGTCTTCTAAAAGTTTGGTAGTTATTTTTCTCTTTGACATCTGGTGGGAGGGTGTTCCACAGGGCGGGTGCCAACACTGAGAAATTATTATTACTATTACTTTGAGAAAACGTCAATTATTATTATTTTTTAATTAAGAGCAGAGAAACAACCCTTTTTCATATGATTTTTAAAAATAGAAATCAAAGCAAAATATTAAAACCTTGATCCAGGAAAACAGCTTTTGAGTGAAGAGACTCATTTCCTACATCAGGAACTAGGTGCAGATGATGCAGACACATTAGTCTTGTTAAAGGTATTCAGTGCGCCCTCGAACCCATTTACACTGTACAATGTGGTTATGGGGTGCCTTTTTGTCCCTACTGCACTGCAGATAAGGAACTGGAACCCAGCCATTGACACAGGATGTGTCCATGCTGCTTTTTATAACTGTGCTATTATTATTATTATTATTATTATTATTATTACTACTACTACTATTAAAAAATGTGTGTGAGAGAGTAAGAGAGAGAGAGAGAGAGACAGAGAGCATGCAGCTGTAAACTAATAATTCAAAAGACCTTTAGAACAGAACAAAGAGATGACAGCTGTACTTGCATTTGAATCTAAATTAGCACCAGCATGCAAAACAAAACAAAACAAAAAAAAAAACCAACGGGGTGGGGGGAGACACAGAGCTTGTAAATCACATTTTCTTGCTTAAGGGCACTAATGTTTAACAGGAGGTGGATTGTTGAGATTTCTTGTGACTTGGCTGAGCTGAAAGTTCTTCAGGACAAAGGATAGTGGGATAAAGGGCACTTCCATACTGTTACTACTTTTGGATGGGATTGAATCACATCCTGGAATATCCTGGCTGTGGATCCAACTTTTTGCAGTAAGGAAGGTGATGGAGGAATGCAACAGAGACTGCAGATTAACACTTGCTTGATGCAATGTTATCTAATCTCTCCACAAACAAATCAGGCTCAATGCTCATTAGTTTGTCCAGATTAAGGTGGTTGGGGGCCTTGGTGCAATACCCCCCCCAAGCCCCCTTCCTCCCAAAAAAGGAATGCATTAAATAAGGTATCACGGAAAAAAAAGTATTGTAGTATCTCATAGTCCTTAACTCTTTCTTTGCATTAGAGCACAGTGGGCGTTTTGGGCACCACAATCTCACACAATCTTGCGCCGCAAAAGTGTGCATTGAAAACGACAATATTAGTGAAAAGAACATACAGAGATGCCTTGTATTGTTATATTATATTGCTTGCAAAAATGCGCATCACTCAAAACTGCAAACAAAAAAGTGAGACTAGCAGATAAGACAAACTACAAAGAATTTAGCTGCCATTGTGGTACAAAGGAAACACCATCCTTTCCAGATTTGTCAATGGGATTCTGGAGGTGTCCTTCCACAGCTGTTCTTGTTAGTGAATTTCCCACCCCCCTATACAACATACCAGGCTCCATTGGTGTCCTCTTGCAAGGGATACTGGGTGTGTTAGCTCCTGACCACAGTTCTTTATACCAGAAGTCTAGTTACCGTTCACTGTAGGATTTCCATTGCTTAGCTATTGCTACTCCATCTGCTACCAACTGCTGGTGTGAAATCAGTTCTGCGAAGTACGAAGACTCCAATAAAGAAACCAAAGATGTCAGAAAGCAGCAATTTCTATCCAAACTTGTCTTCATTATAATCTGCTACAGTTTTGTTTTCCCCATACTGCATGAATTGTGTCACTGTTGGCTATTTAACGTAATTTATGTAATTTACATAACGTTTAACTTACGCAATTATCCCACTATTTCAGTTGTAAGGAAATAGCAAAACAATATTTTAAAAGAGTCTTTAATTACATATCTGTTGTGGGGGTTTGAAAACAACAAAGGTTGACTGAATACCAATCACATCTGTTGGATTGGTACTGACCATATTCGCTAGATTAATTTCTTTTCTGGACATGGGACAAAAATGCAAACAGTTGCAATTTCTGATTCTGTTTCTGACAAAATTACCTGACATCCCTACTGGGTTCTGTCTTCATGCTTTACTCTGTCATTGGTGCTGAAATCTCAATAAACACTCCATTCTGGAAGCTTTCAACAATGGGATATAATGATATCACATATGATAGTAAGAATCTTTATCCAGTTGAGGCTGGTCAATTAAGGTGATTAGGGCTACTCGGAGTATGACTTAGTTAGATACAGCATGACCAAAAAGAGAATCTGGATGTTACAGGGGACTGCCCTGTCATGAAACTCCAGCGTACACAAAAATGTGTGTGCAATTCACAATAAACTGATTTCTTGCACGGTTATTGTGATACGAGCTAACATAAAAGTTTGAAACACAGCTATTCAGAGCTGTCTTTCTCTGAAAGCAGCTTCTTCTGAATCTTTGCTGCAGCCTGCAGTTAATATAGCAAAATTACTAATATCATTTCCATTAAATTTATATACTACTTGAAAACAAATTTATACATTGCTTGATAAAATGAAACAAAACCTCAAAGATAAAACAATAAGTTTGAGAAATCTTTACAACAGTGGTTTAAAATATGCAAAAAGTTAACCTACTAAGGGCGGTTAAAATCCACATCAACTTTCTAAGCATCTGGGCAGGCTTGTTTAAACAAGAATGTTTTTAGCAGGCACAGAAAATAATACTTGATATCAATGCCATCATAAAATGCCATTAATGAAGGCCCACACTCAATTTTCTCTTTCATCTGACAGGTTTTACATAGACCAGATGGTGCTTTGGGGCCCTTCTGAATCCACAATCCTATTTTAAGTTGTGCCATTTACATCCCATGAAATAAAGAAAGGTACCTGGATACTTTTTGCTATGTGTGGGTAATCGTGGAAATGATTCCTAAGGTTGAGCCCACTTCTACCTCTCAAACGCCACAGGTGAAGTTTGTTTCCAGGCAGCACCACTTCACAGGTTGCAGGTTGCGGCTTGCTTGAATCTTCCTCCGCACAAAATATTCCCTGCACTTGGAAAACCGGAATTTCAGGGACAAGGCTAGGCTGGAAAAGTAATTCCCCCTGATGTTAAAGGGCACAGATCTTATTTGGGTCATATGTGATGACCAGGGTTCCCTTAAATCCCTGTACCCACTAATGGCTATTTGCTGGTTGGAACTTCTTGGACAGCATTAGTGGTGGAATATTCCAGCTCCTGCAAAAATTGACAAGGCTAGAAAAAGGCGAAGCACGCAGTCAGGCGCAAAGTAGAGGCTATGGGCGGAAGGGTAATTTAGCACCTGAACATCACATTTGAGAAGGAGCCACTGTTTAGGCATGATGAGGTGCATCTATCTGAATCTGGCAATAATGCATGGCTCACTGACATCTCAGAAGGCTTCAAGGCTTGGTTGCAGATGTAATGGTGTGATGGCAAACCCTATTGGCTTGGGTGGCAGTTAAGGCATTAGTTTTTGGTGGAGGGGAGGTTGTACCCTCTGCTTGCCTCTCAGGTGCAAACGGATATTCCATTAAAGCAGTGTTTCCCAAACTTGAGCCTCCAGCTGTTGTTTGACTACAGCTTCCACCATCCCTAGCTAGTAGGAACTAGTGGTCAGGGATGATGGGAATTGTAGTCCTAAAACAGCTAGAGACCCAAGTTTGGGAAACCCTGCAAAGGGATCTGGAAGGAGTGGCTTCTATTCTGAAGCCCAGGCAGGTTCGTACTTGTTGTGTGTCATTAGGAGCCTCTTTGCCTTGAGCTGAGCTCACCGATATACAGGCGGGCTGGCACTTAAACTGGTTTTCCCAATGCCTGACCAAACACTTCATCTGTAATCAATAAAGTTGTGCCAATATTTGACCCAAGCAACGTGTCCCGTGTGTTTATGTCAAGATGGCCATGGGTGATGGGAGCATGTGGGTCACACAATGCCTCTCTACAATTCCCACCCTTCACAGACTTATTTCCTTGAGTGCAATCTAAATGTACGGTGTATTGTACTGCAGCTGAGGACTCTTAACCTACTTCCTTCAAAGTTGTGAAATTGCAGGTGGAGTCAAACTGAACGTAGAGGAGTGGCCACATTTCTTGGCATTGAACTAGGGAATGATTGAGTTTATTTGAAAGATAAGCCAAATATTTGAAGCAGAACTTTGTACTTCTAGGAGAACAGACTAGAAGTTCTGAAACGACACAGAGGAAGCAGATACGGTCGATTACAAAGCTCAACATCATGAGCACTGCAGGGAAAGTAAGTAGATGATTTCTTTTAAAGTTGCTTTTTCAGCCCCAAGATGCATAAATACAAACAATAAAAATAGGCTAAATGTAAGCCACCCTGAGGAATTTGGCTATAGGTAGGGCTTTTTTTCAGCTGGAACTCACCAGAACTCAATTCTGGCACCTCTCAGATGGGTGCCATTGCCATTGTAAGAGAACAAAGGAGGCATTCATGGTGAGTTCCAGCACCTCATTTACTAGAAAAATTGCACTGGTATTGGGGCGCATATTAAATATTAAACATGCACAGGATTGCAATGTTAGCTACGTGGAAAAAATAGTATATGCTCTTCTATTATTTAACAGGACATTGAAATCAGAGCTGCCACTGTAAATTGTTTTCATGTTTTGTATGATATTCTATTATCTCAGGTCATTAAGTGCAAAGCTGCCGTTGTCTGGGAAGTCAAGAAACCATTTAGTATTGTGGAAATAGAAGTTGCCCCACCTAAGGCACATGAAGTTCGGATTAAGGTAAGAGAGACAAACCAAAAATGGCATTTCTGCAGATTATTAGTATCTGCACTAGAGATGGAGAAATTTGATTCAGTTTGCACTTAAAGATAAATCTACCTAATTTATGCTTTCAAAAACAATATGAGAATGGGGAAGGGCTGCAGCCCTGGAGGAACAGCTGTTTTGCTTGCAAAAGTCTGAAGATGAATCACTGGTATCTCCAGGCAAGTGTGGGAGAGTCCCTAGTCTGACTCTCTGGAGAGCTGCTTTCAGTCAATGTGGAAAATGCTGAGCTAGATGGATCAATGGTCTGACTCAGTATAAGTAACAACAACAACAACAACAACAACAACAACAACAACAACTTGTACCCCACCCATCTGACTGGGTTGCCCCAGCCACTCTGGGTGCCTTGCAACAGAATATTAAAATCACAACAAAGGTCAACACTAACACTTCGAAATTGTGCTTGGAAACACACGGGGAGTCATTGTAGATCTTTAAAGACCAGTGTTATACGATCCTGGAGGCCGCTCCCAGTCACCAGTCTGGAAGCTGCATTCTGGATTAATTGTTGTCATAATTGTAGTTTAAGGCAGATTCCTGTGTTCCTATGAGAACCAAAACACACCCATTTTTCAAAATTCGCACTTCTCCAACCAAGTAATAAGTGTAAAAATTCATATAGTGGTGTAAAATGTGCACAAAAATGCCAGTATTAATGAATATAATATACAAATATGCTTGATATTAGACAACGTTGCTTTGCACTGTTGCATATCAGGCAAAATTGCATGCAAACATGTTTATATTAGGAGAAATTTGCACTGAAATCCTGATGAATTTTCATGAGTACTTTAAAACAAAAACCTGCAAACTGATGTGGAAATGTAGGAGAGTTTTGAACCCCTGCAAGTTGCTGCAGGAGAGAGATTGTGAGCAATATCATGAGAGGGGTATTTCTAGGACCAATGTGAAACTCAAAAGCTCCCTGGTTATTTTTGCTATTGGATGATGGGTGTCAATTAAAGACTTCCTTTTTCCAAAAAAAAACCCCCACCCTGTAAAGTGGAGATCATTAACTCAGTCTGAATTACCGTATTTTTCTGTGTCTAAGACTGTATTTCCCCCCAGATTTTTTAAGTTTAAAATTGGGGGTCGTCTTATACACAGAATGTTGCAATTAATTATTTCTTAATTTTGGTCTCAAAAAATAGGGGTCGTCTCATACATAGGGGCGTCTTATATACTGAAAAATATGGTAGATGTGAAATTGTTTTCACACATGAAATTATTTTTGATTGTTTTAAATATTTGTATAGGTTGATCTGTTTGTAATTGTTTCTATTATTTATGTTTTTACTGTGATATTATTTTGAGATATCTTATGGGAAGCAATTCATGATCTGAATTTTAAAAAATAATATAAAATAAAAAACTTTCTCCTTTAAACCAGATTTTGGCGTCTGGAGTCTGTCGCTCCGATGACCATGGGCTGAGTGGGGCAATGTATGTAAAATTCCCCGTTATTCTTGGTCACGAGGCAGCTGGTGTTGTGGAGAGCGTTGGGGAAGGAGTTACCTGTGTGAAACCAGGTAAGGTAAAGCAGAGTGCAACCAGAAAATATCAACTCACAGCATTGGTCAACAAAGATCAAACGAAACTAGGAGAGCCAACCAACTGGTGGAAGAATGACCAAGAAAGTGTTTTCTTTAGGGAAGGGCGGTCAGCTCTGGGCCAATGACTAGATTTTTAATGTAAATGCCAGAATTTGGAATCAATTGCTAGACATTTCTGAATAGGAGTCAGCAAAGTTATTTTTTACTGATATTACTACTACTACTACTATCACTTGCCAGGGTGGTTCACAACTACTGAAACTTGCAATATTAATTTAAAACAAATTGCAGTCAAGAGACTAGGGTAGTCCATATTCTCAGGTGCCAAACACCAGGACTGCTATACTGCCAGCACCCCAAAATGTTGATGAAAGAGGAACGACCAAAAGGGCCCCTTCTACCGATTTGAATGTCCAAGAACAGGCACCCCCAAACTTAGCTCTCCAGATGTTTTGGGACTACATCTCTCATGATCCCTAGCTAACAGGACCAGTGGTCAGGGATGATGGAAATTGTAGTCCCAAAACATCTGGAGGTCTGGGTTTGGGGATGCCTGCCCAAGAGGGTCTTTAGGGTCTGGTGGGGCTTCCTGTTTCCGGCGGTGGAAAATGGCGGATCCCACACGATCGGAATTTAGCCGTTCTGATAATTCAGGGCTGATATGGGGGTAATTAGCCCTGGCAGCCTCCCCAGGGCAGGGGAGGACTGTCTCGATGACCCGCGGTTTGCCCCAGATTGCTGATGTGGCAGACGGCAGAGGGCACTAAATCACGGAGCAAGGGACGGACTGACACTCCTGTGATGCCACCCCATAGTCTGCAATGTTCATGACATACCCTCCAACATTGCTCAGATGAAAATAGGGACATTTCTCACTTCCTACCTCCAACTGACCCTCCTCAAACCCTCCCCCCAATTTTGTACTGTCCCCCGCCCCCAACAAAGCATTTCCTGAATATTTTAAGCAGGCTAATGATGGTATTTTCATCATTCCCAGGAGACAAAGTCATCCCACTCTTTGCCCCACAATGTGGAGAATGCAGCACATGCAAACATCCCAGAGGCAATCTGTGCAAAATGGGCGAGTGAGTTGAAGTTGTTATTTGCAACAGTGCATATGTTGGGTTAAAAAAAAAAAACACAACCCAAAGCACAATTTTCCTTTCTTCAACTTTTAGCCTTACCGCCTCTGGATTAATGCACGATGGCACCAGCAGGTTCACTTACAAAGGCCAGCAGCTCCACACCTTTCTCGGCACAAGCACCTTCACAGAATACACCGTGGTGCATGAGTCTGCAGTGGTCAAAATTGATGCTGCAGCTCCTGCAGAAAAAGTGTGTCTGATTGGCTGTGGGTTTTCTACTGGCTATGGTGCTGCCATCAACAGTGCAAAGGTAAGGATTAAAACATTGGTAATGCTCATATTCAGTGTGAGGAATTTGTAGCAGGTCTAGACAGAAAGAGGAAGACAGGTGGACTCTGGGCCTCTGGCACAGAACCAGGTGAAAGCACAGTCAATACAGTAAATGAATCAAAACAATATAAAATAGCAAAGCCACCAAATACCCATCAATCCACTCATGACCTGCATTCACATTCTTGCTACCGACGTAGTTCTCCAGCATCCCACCTCTCTCTTGGATGTTTTGAACATCAAGGAGCAATC